TAGGGAGGTTGATGACTCCCATTTTCTTTTTCCCAAGAATTGCTTTAGCTATTCGTGGGGGCTTATTGTTCTATATAAATTTCAGGAGTGTTTGCTCCATTTCTTTGAAGAATGTCATGGGTATCCTTATAGGGATTGCATTGAATTTATACAATGCTTTTGGTAGTATTGCCATTTTGACAATGTTAAGTCTCCCGACCCATGAGCAGGGGATATCTTTCCATTTCCTCATGTCCTCTTTTCTTTCCTGAAGTAGCGTTTTGTAGTTTTCTTTGTATAGATCCTTTACTTCCTTAGTTAAGCTGATTCCTAAGTACTTGATTTTCTGGGGCACAATTTTGAACGGGATTTTTTTTCATGTTGCTTTTTTCTCTCTCACTGTTTGCATATAGGAAAGCCATGGACTTTTGGATATTGATTTTATAGCCTGCAACTTTACTATACGAGTCTATTGTTTCTAGGAGTTTTTTGGTGGAGGTTATTGGGTTCTCTAAGTAGAGTATCATATCATCTGCGAATAGTGAGAGCTTGATTTCTTCCTTTCCTACCTGAATGCCCTTAATATCTTTTTCTTGCCTAATCGCTATTGCAAGCACTTCCAGTACTATATTGAACAGCAGTGGATAGTGGGCATCCTTGTCTCGTCCCTGATCTTAGAGGGAAGGCTCTCAGTTTTTCTCCATTGAGGATGATGCTTGCTGTAGGCTTATGGTAGATGGCTTTAAATATGTTGATGAAGGTCCCCTCTATACCCATTTTGGCTAGGGTTTTCATCATAAAGGGGTGCTGGATCTTGTCAAATGCTTTCTCTGCATCTATTGATATAATCATATGCTTTTTATCTTTTCTTTTGTTGATATGATGGATTATGTTGATTGATTTCTGAATGTTGAACCATCCTTGCATCCCTGGGATGAATCCTACTTGGTCATGGTGTATGATCTTTTTGATGAGTAGTTGGATTCTATTTGCTAGTAGTTTGTTGAGGATCTTTGCATCTGTGATCATCAGGGATATCGGTCTGTAATTCTCTTTCTTTGTGGTATCTCTGTCTGCTTTTGGTATCAGTGTGATATTTGCTTCGTAGAAACTGTTTGGAAGTGTTTTTGATATTTCAATTTTGTGGAAAAGCTTAAAGAGCATTGGGAGTAAGTCCTCTTTAAAGATTTGGAAGAATTCACTAGTGAATCCATCCAGGCCAGGACTTTTGTGCTTGGGGAGACTTTTTATTACCATTTCAATTTCCTAGATGGTGATAGGTCTGTTCAGGTATTCCAGGTCTTCTTGGTTCAGCCTTGGGAGTCTGTAGGAGTCTAGGAATTTATCCATTTCCTCGAGGTTTTGATGTTCCGTGGCATAAAGTTTCTCAAAGTACTCCCTGAGGATCCTTAGAATTTCTGTAGTTTCTGTTGTAATGACCCCCTTTTCATTTCTGATTCGGTTTATTAGGGTTTTCTCTCTCCCTTTCTTTGTGAGTTTTGCTAGAGGCTTATCGATCTTGTTAATTTTCTCGAAGAACCAGCTCTTGGTTTCATTGATCTTTCGGATTGTTTTTTGGGTTTCCATCTCGTTAATATCTGCTCTGAGCTTTATTATTTCCTTCCTCCTGTTCGGGTTGTGCTCCTTTTTTTTGGTCCTTCTCCAAGCTCTTAAGCCGTGAGGTTAGGTTACTTATGTGTGCTCACTCCTCCTTCCTGAGGAATGCTTGTAGAGCTATAAACATTCCTCTTAACACAGCTTTTGCTGTGTCCCATAAGTTTTGGTAACTCGTGTTCTCATTTTCATTCGTTTCTAGGAATCTTTTGATTTCCTCTTTGATTTCCTGTCTAATCCACTCGTTGTTCAATAGTGCACTGTTTAATTTTCAGGTGTTTGATTTAGTTTTCTGTTTTTGTGTGTGATTTACTTCTAATTTCAGCGCATTATGGTCTGAGAAGATTGTTGATACAATCTCTATCTTCTTAATTTCATGGAGGCATGTTTTGTGGCTCAGTATGTGGTCTATCTTGGAGAATGTTCCATGTACGCTTGAGAAGAATGTGTATTCAGCTTTTTGTGGATGAAGTGTCCTGTATATAACTACTAAGTCCCTTTCTTCCATTGTTTCCCTCAGATGAAGTATGTCCTTGCTAAGCTTGAGTCTGGTTGATCTATCAAGAGGTGACAAAGCAGTGCTGAAGTCTCCCACTAGTATTGTGTTGCTATTGATGTCTTTTTCCAAATCTATGAGTAGTTGTTTTAAGTACTTTGCTGGTCTCTCATTAGGTGCATATACATTTATTATTGTAAGTTCTTCCTTTTGTACAGATCCTTTGATCAATAAGAAATGGCCTTCACTGTCTCTTATGACCTTCCTCACTCTGAAATCATTGTGGTCTGATATTAGGATGGCTACCCCAGCTTTTTTATGGGAGCTGTTTGCCTGTAGGATTGTTTTCCAGCCTTTGACTCTGAGTCTGTGTTTGCTTTGACTATTGAGATGTGTTTCTTGCAGGCAGCAGAATGTTGGGTTCAATTTTCTAATTCATCCTGCCACTCTATGTCTTTTAATTGGTGCGTTTAGCCCATTGACATTGAGAGAGATTATTGTTATGGGATTTTGTCCCATTGTTCTGTTGAAATTTGGTGTATTTGAGGGGCCTTTCTTGCCTTAAAGTATCCCATTTAGTTGTTCTTGTAACCACGGTTTTGAGTCTATGAAGTTCCTGAGCTGTTGTTTGTCTGTGAAACTGTGTGTTGTTCCTTCTATTATAAATGAGAGACTCGCTGGGTAAAGTATTTTTGGGGAGGCATTTATTTCATTGAGTTTTTTCACTATGTCCCACCACTGTTTTCGGGCCATGAGGGTTTCATCAGAAAAATCAGCTGTGAATTTTAAGGATGCTCCTTTGTAAGAGAATTCTTTCTTCGATCTTGCTGCTTTCAGAATTTTGTCTCTGTCTAAGGTTTTGGTCATTTTGATCAGAATGTGCCTTGGGGTGTTTTTATTCGGATTTCTTCTAGCTGGTACCCTTCGGACCTCCTGAATATGGTCACAAGTTTTCTTCAGCTCTGGAAACGTTGTAGCAATGATGTCTTTGACAGTTTCTTCTTCATCAAGGTTTTCTTCCTGTACCTCTGGGACTCCAATAATTCTTATGTTACCCCTCTTGGCTTCATCACGATCTTCTCTTGCCATCTGTTCCCGAATTGTGAGTCTCTTTTCCATTTTCTGCTCTTTTCTGGAGAGTCTCTGAACTACATCTTCAAGCTCACTGATTCTGTTCTCAGCAGCTGTTACTCTGCTGCTGAGGCCTTCCACTGGGTTTTTCAATTCGCCTACGAGATTTTTTAGGTCTGACATTTCCGCTGGCATTTTCCTCATTTCTGCCTTCAAATCCTCTTGTCTTCTATTGGCATTGCTTTCCATTGTTTCTTTTAGTTCCCTAAGCATCCTAAGTAGCTCTCTTCTGAATTCCTTGTCAGAGAGGTTGTCTAACACTACAGTACTGTTGGTGTCATCTGGGCTAGACTCTTCAATATGAAAGTTTGGTGGGCTTTTGCGTTGCTTTACCATTGTGAGATGTGTGGTTTAGTCCTTCACGTTCACTGTTACTATTCTGCTTGATATGCAGTGTGAGTTAAGATAGGCTTATGAGTTATTGGCTACTGTGTTTCTAGTGACTGAGCTAAACTAGAGAAGTTTCCATCTAAGAAGGTAGCTTATGGTTCCTATGGCATATGTAGTGGGAAATTATTTCGCGGCCGTTAACGCAGCTGCAGCTCCGGAAAAAGTCCCTGGCACTGAGCGAGGAGTTAGGAACGTCTACGGTTGGAATAGGAGCCGTTCAGCTTGGTTGCCCAGAGCTGGGACTCCGTGCCCGTCCCGCGCAGATCAGGGGAGAAAACCGGCTTTCCAGGACATGGAGCTAGCTGTGCATGCGCAGAGAGGGACCCAGGCCCTTGGGGGCGGGCTGTACCTCCCATTATTTTTCAAACATACCACTGAGGTCTTTCTGGACAACCTTTCTAACATAGGTATCTCTCAATCCAATCCCCTGGTCTTCTGAGAAAACAAAAGTTTGAGTTGTTTTATAGCTAGCCATGGGCTGAAGCCATAGCACAGCAGTAGGGTATTTGCCTTGCGTGCAGCCAGCCCCACAGAGCCGGGTTTGATTCCTCCATCCCTTTTGGAGAGCCCGGTAAGCTATCGAGAGTATTGTACCCACACGGCAAAGCCTGGCAAGCTACCCATGACGTATTAAATATGCCAAGCACAGTAACAAGAAGTCTCAAAATGGAGACATTTACCTGCTAGAGTAAATTGATGAGCAAGGAGAGGACAGTGTTTGTTTGTTTGTGCATTTATAGTTAACTTCCACATATCATAACTTCCACAGCCATGATGGGCCCAGAGGAGATAATCAATACAAATACATTGAACAGGTTGGTGGCATGGATCTTGCTGAGGAAAGGTCGTGTCGCCCTGATGCATGAAAAGCAGTGAAAGAAAACATTTCAGATACATTTGTAGACTAAGTCGGTCACCTAAGTAACATCAAATTTTCACTTGGAAATTCAACAAATCTTAGAAAAATGATATGTCCAAGTAAGCAAGACAAATCCATTATCATTCAGTTCCCATCAGGGCCTGAAGCAACTTTTAGAAAACCTGTTCTCAGATACACAGTGCTAATTTGTGTCTTATGGAAAATTGAATAAATTATTTTTTACCTGAAGGGATCAAAATTATTTGACTTCAGATATTTGCCATATGGCTCTCCCAAACAGCATTGCTCATAGGCTTAAGGTGTAAGAGTCAGAGCATGTGTATAAATTATTCAGAGATAATTTAAAGTGAGTGGGTATCTTTGACAGATTGTTTCTTACTGCTTTTTTTTACTGATAACAAGTACTCTGGTTTTTGATAAAAAGCATCATTTCTCATCACCCTTCATTCTTGTTCTGTGTATGTTTTCTGTGTTGTTTTGTCTCTCGTTTGTTCTTTGCTCACCTCCCAGAGTCCAGTCTGGCTCTTATCTCAGCACGGGATGGTTCACCTTCATTCTGGCCATGGATGCCTGTTACAGCATCCACATCTACGGAATGATAAATGACACCTACTGCAAGTAAGATCACAGGAAATTATTTTTATGCATCTCCATTTCTAATCTCTTGTCAAAACATCACAATTAATTTTAATGCCATAAATCTGAGGAAAAGATAAAGCAACAATTATTTCCGGGTGTTCTTTGCTGATATGACATTTTATTGTCTGTGCATCAAGTTGTGACTTTTAGGGGTTATAAAAAGAAAAACATTTACCACAATTTAATGTCAAATGTTTGAAGGAACATTTTGCCCTTAATCAGTGGCATGTCAGGGACTGGGGCTGGAAAATACAGAGCAACTTTAGTGGTTATTTAATTTGCAAAGTAAGTTTGTCATTTCTGCTGCTCAAATAGCTTGATGGATGGCTATACACTTAATGGTGATATTTGATCATGAAGGATAAAAGGTCCTGAAGCTTCAGAAAAGCTTACAGCTTAACAAGACTTCCCAGAAATTATACTAATAAGTGGGTAATATGCCAGCTCCTTATTTAAAATGGATATGTTGCTCTATAGTATATCCCCACTGGTGGGATAATTTCTAATTAGATAATAAAACGACTTCTCCATGTGTTATATAGGTAATAAAATACATCCCTCTGCCAACAATTGGGATAACATAATTTAGAGAATGTTTTAATCATAATGTCAAGTGGAAACTAAACTACAAGCTTCACAATAAAATATATCTACCCTAGCTATAAGCATAATGGAGCACAGATGTACCAAATATCTTCTTGAAAAATTACAATGCTACTTCAAGCTCTGAAAAACCATCAGGCTATAGAAAGTTTGTTTCCATTAAACACCATTTCCTCTTTCAGTGGATAGCAATATGTTTGAATGTAATTGGTATGATAGATAAATTTTATTTGATTTATTAAAGTACTAATTACCTAGTACATTTTCTTAAAAGCTTTTATATAATAGCTTTTAACTGAGTTCATGGACAAAAACTATGCATGGGGTTGCAAGTAAATGCATTCTTGGGTACATAATGGGTTCTTATAAATGACTGCATCATTCTTTTAATTCAATCCTCCTTTCCTTTTTTCTTTTCTAGGACGGAAGGATATAGAAAAGTCCCCTACCATTACTATGAACAAGGAAAAGATGAATGTGATGAATATTTTCTTCATGAACAAGCTCCATATGGGGGGCATAGATTTATCACTGAGAAGAAAGTATTTGCTAAGTGGGCCAAGAAACACAGAATTATATTTACACATCCAAACTGGACAGTTTCTTGATGTTGGTATTTTTCATTTTGTCAAACCACTTGATGTGATCATAATACTGCAACTGTGATGCTAATGATGATGATAGCAATGATTAAGACCACAATAATGATGATCAAGTTTCTGTACATTCTCAGATATGCTGGTGACTGCTAGTAATTTGAACTTGGAATTCCATAGAAGATGGTTGTGCTCATTATATTTTTTCTGAAGGCTCAACACTACATACTGCACTTTATTATTTAACTGGAAGTAAAATTGAAGGCCCATAATACGCAGCGATGACCTAAGAATTTGGAACATGATCCTCCAAGATAACTACCCGTAATATCAGAATAGGGCCTGCCTTCTAAGGCCAGGGAATTTGGCCTCATGAGTCATGTTTATTGACTCAATGACCTCTGTCTGAAATATAAGCAAGGCTACCATCTTAGAGACATGTTGATTTTTAAACACTAGCCCAAGAGATAATATCTGTGTATGAGTACTTTTCCAAAATTACTAGTTATCTTGGGAAGACTCTTCTTCACATACCATTTTTTCAGTACTTCCTATAGCTAAAGTCTCAGGCCATTACCTAATTAACAATGAAGATACCATGGGCATCCTACCCATCAGGATTATTTGACTATCTCAAACTTTAAAAATAAACCAAATAGTTTCGTGAGTTTCCACTCTCACCTGTCCATTCTTATTACATGAAACAATGTAACTAAGGATGTTTAATAGAATAATCTATATTAAATGTTCAGATTTTTTGTTGAGTCCTAAATATTTCAGAAAGCATTAACATATAAGATTCCAACACTGTAATACATATACTGTGAAAACATTCCTAAAACATAAGCAAAAGGGTTACTAACTCTGCTTCAACACTCAACAGCATATAAGTACAAGCTTTTAAAAATTTAAGAAGCAGAGAAAGCAAAGCATATTTTTACATTACTTTTTATCTCACCATTCTTCATAATATATATTTGTATATTCAAATTTCTATTTTATAGGCCCAATATGTGTCTCTCCATATATTGCATTATTCTTGCTAAGTGCCAACTATTAGACATGGAAGGGACATGTCTCCTTGAATCTGACCAGAGTTTTTGCCTTCTTGGGGTTTATTTCACCCCAGTGTACCAGTTGTTATACTTTATTAACAACAATAATAATGACTTTTGTGTCCAAAGTACTTTGTCATTTAGATTCCTTCTCAGATGTTATCTCATGTAATACCTATTACCATCCTATTAGGCTTTTTTACTGCCTACACATTCTGACAACTCTGTAGCAGATGATATGTAATTTGTTTATTATTATGCTATGTTTTGGATTCCTCTTGTTAATATTTTATAGAATGGTATTCATATAGTCTAGTAACCAACTGATTCCAGTGCCAAATATGTATACATTGTGTCAGGAAGATGCAAATCATATCACAAGTGTAGTCCTGACAATAGATTAGGACTCTTGTGAATTTAGGTACTTTGGACTTTTTAAAATGACTTTTTAGGTAGGGAAAAATGTGATAATAGACACAAGATGGAATAAAAGCAGAAAATATAGTTTTTCACCCACACTTAAGATTACTATTCTTCATATACTCATTGATCATTAAGTATTAGAAGACTGATTTTCTGAGAGAGTAACTGAGAGACCATAAACATCCTTGCAAATGATTCAAGAACAAAAGCCAGGTTTAATTTAGATACTGTTCTGGAGGCTGGGAGTGATTATACATTTCACCTCAGGGACACTTTGCAAGTCTTTACCTGTGCTGTCTTGTGATGAGCCATCACTACAATGCACAGAGGTCTCTTTCCTGCCTTCTGTCATCTCACTACCCCAATACTCACATTTATAAAAATGATTAACTGTCTCTTCCATAGTTGAAACTGTTTCTGATGTTCTTTTTTTTTCCTTATATGATTTTCTGTTCTATATTGTTATTTTTTCAAGCTTCTGATGGATAGAAATGCGCAGGCAAAGAAAAATAAACAGATGCAAATATTAAAAATTGTTATGCAGCCTGTTTGTCCCCCCTCCACTCCCTGTGATACAGAATGGCATAATTGATTGTTTATTCTGATAAATGGAAGGCCAACTCTTTTTATTTTCACTCTTAGGCATGAAAAAATTGAAAACCTTTCTAGATCTCCTGCCTCACTCCAACTACCTTTGACTTTTCCAGTGTCCTATATCACTCTGTCCTATATCACTCACTCTGGCTGTAGGTGTGAGTAGACTGGATAGTGTTTCCTTTAAAAGAAGGAAGAAGATGAGAGGGTGATCTTCCTTCTCCTCTGTTACTCTTCCTCCCCCCACCCCGCCTCCTCTCCCCTCTGCATTTTTCTGCTTCTATTGCTCCCTTTTCTTTCCCCTCCTTTGTGTGTATGTGGGGGAGTGGCAGAGGGGAAGAGGGCAGAACAGCTATTCTCAGGGTTTACTCCTAATTCTGTGCTCAGAGGCCAGTCCCAGCCTCAAGGCACACAAGGTGTCAGGAATTAAACCAGGGTTGTCCACATGAAAGTAAAACACCACACCATCTATCTGTTCAGTTCTTTTTTTTTTTCAATCTAAACTCCCACACTTTCAATTTTTTCATTTGCATTTTTTGGCCGGAGCAATAGCATAGCGGGTAGGGCATTTGCCTTGCAGACGGCCAACCCGGGTTTGACTCCCATCATCCCATATATTCCCCCTGAGCACCGCCAGGAATAATTCCTGAGTGCAGAGCCAGTAGTAACCCCTGTGCATCGCCAAGTGTGACCCAAAAAGCAATAAATAAATAAATAAATAAATAAGTTTTTAACGTAAATGCCCGAATTTTTTTTGTAAGCTTGCCTACTGCTCAAGTGATAGCATTTCTGTTCTTAACATATGATTGAAAAACTTTTTAGAATAATACTTTGTTATCAAACCTATCAAAGAAAAACTATTTTGGGGGCAAGAGGGTATAGTGAATATTTGCAGAATGCAAGAGTATGTGCACATGAAGACAAACATGCTATTTTCTGTTTTTCACTTACGTCTATGATATAGAAGGCAACTTATTTTAGACCTTATCTGAGATTGATTGAGTCACATTTTCAGTCCTAAATGGGAAAAGAAAGCAAAAGTCCAAATTAAATATACTGATTATTAAGAGTACATAACATCATAGCCAACAGCTAACCAGAAAAGAAAGCTAGAGCAGTTGCCAAATCTAGAACTGAGAAAACAATTAGATGCCCAAGTTGTCACAAATCATACCTGAAAATATAGCATTCTTATCCGAGATTCTGACAAGATTGCAGCTCAGCTAAAGCCATTGTGGAGAACATCACATCAAGCTTTTTTCACACTGAAGTGAATGAACATTGGTCTCTCTAAAAAAGTCTGTCTCCTGTGTAAGCAAATGCAGATCTGCATGATTTTTTTTTATATAGCTAAGGAATTGTGAACATCAGCACTGTAGCATTGTCCTCCCATTGTTCATAGATTTGCTCGAGCGGGCACCAGTAAAGTTTTCATTGTGAGACTTGTTACTGTTTTGGGCATATCAAATACGCCACGGGGAGCTTACCAAGTTCTGTTTTGTAGTTGTGATACTCTCAGTAGCTTGCCGGGCTCTCTGAGAGAGAGAGAGGAATCGAACATGGTCGGTCATGTGCAAAGCAAACTCCCTACCGCTGTGCTAATGCTCCAGCCTTCTGAACATTATGGGGGGAAAATGAAATACTGATTGTTCAGTGAGAATTTGGAATGAATCACTGAAGTGGAAGCAAGAGTCTGACTTGGGGACTTTACTGACCTTTCCAGAAATAGAAAACCATCAGAAAAGAAATATTTATTACTTCAATAGGGAGGGGAGGGGAAACACTAAAGTAGTTCACCCAGTGATGTTAATGGAGTGGTAGTTGTAAACTGTGTTTCGTTTTTATAAGTAAGAAAATATCTGATAGTTTATGTTGCTTTTTAATATCATATCCATCCAGCATGTAATGTAGTGTATATATGCAAAACATAAACTATCATGTCCAAATCAGTTTGTGTATATGTCTTAGCACAATAAATGATTTACATTCCCTGGATCATAAAGGGAAAACATCCTTTCCCCTTAACTACATTTTAAAAAGGCAAGACTACATCAGTTTAATAGTCTACAGAGATCTTTTGTAAGTAGCCTAGACTTTCAGAGCTGCAAAGGGCTTTAGAGACCAGCCAATCCACCTCTGCATCTTGGAGATGAGGAAAGAGACCTATAGTAGTGAAATGACTTGGCAGTGGCTATAAAAAAGATGAATGGCAGTACCAAAAACTCAAATTATTATCTCATGTCTCCTTTTCTAATGTTTTTTCATACTCTTTCTTTTTTATCTGTTCTTTTGTTAGTAAAGAACAGAATGCAAATGTAACTCAGTGGAAGATTCTATTCCTGGAAAGCAAGGGTTCCAATCAGTGTAAAGTCTACTCCTAATGCAAGAAATCCCCATGCCAAAGTAAAGAGACACTCATAATTAATGGAACCATATCCCAGTAACTGTAGATATCCTTTATTGTCTGAGTTTATTCAAAAGATTACACCACGTTCCATTGACATGAACCCCTAGCACAGCCACAGGGTGGACTAATTAGGTAGTGAAAAGTCCTCAGTTTTTGTTCTTCAACAGCAAAGAATGAAGACCACACACCACACAAATATCACTGTATCACTGTCATCCTGTTGTTCATCGATTTACTCGAGTGCACGCCAGTAATGTCTCCATTCGTCCATGCCTAAGATTTTAGCAGGCCTCCCCTTACTCGTCTTTCCCAATGCTGCCATATTGGAGGCTCTTTCAGGGGAAAGAGACCTGTTATTGTTACAAATATAGTAATAATAAATCAAGCAAGTTTACTTAAACACAGAATACTCCAGAGAAAATGAGCGGGTTCACTCTTTGAGTCTAATCCCATTCTGTTTAATTCTTTATGTTCTTTAAAAAAGAAACAATTGGATGCCCCACCTAGACATGCTCAGTGGCCAAAATTCTGTGCTGGAATCTTGGTGGTGTCCAGGGCCTAGATCATTCAGGGGATTGAACAGAGATCTTAGGCTCATTTATTTAAACAGATGAGAAATGGTGTTTTATGGTCTTTTTTTATAGAGTGGATTAGGTGACAACGCCATCTTTGTGGATTTTAGGCAAAAGATTGATAATGATTGGATTATGTAACTAGCCTGCTTCTGCACGCATGATTGCCCATGATGCATATACAAAAGCCCACTTGAAAGTTAAGCTATGGTGTTAATTGTACCCTAATGAGTAGTTAATAAGGTGGATGAATAGAGGACATGGTTTTGTCCTGTTTGCGCATGCATAAGCTTGAAAGAAATCTGTTGGTTATTGTCTATTTTTTTTTCTCCATATAAGTTTTTCCCCAGCTGCAGCTTCATTCTTATAGGGCCCAGGAGGCGTTCCATCTCCTTGATTTTGCTCAGCTGCCATGTT